GTTAATTTGTATTTGACAGTGTTGTAAAGATTAAAATATTTGACATCTAGGGTTGCTTTATCTAAATTAATTTTATGAACTATATGCACTATATTATTAACTGTATTATTAATGATTAAATAGTGAGGATACAATAAATGAGCTATGCAGATTATTTTTCACCTTATAAATGTTTAAAAGCCTTATATCTTCCCATCCAGAGTATCACTGAATTCTTTGGATTTATGGTTGAAGTCAATGAAAGACAGGTGATCTTATCTTTGCCAGCATTTTAACTTGCTATGCCTTCCTGGATAAATGTCCTGTATCTATAATGACTCTTAGTGATAATAGGCTCACGTGATTGATTAATGATGTCTACCAGGATCTCAAAAATAAACATCCATATACACATGTACATTTGTCATCCTTGGACTAGTTGAGTTTGCAATTCATAGTCAGCTCTAATAGTTTACAAAGTGAGATTTGATCAAGTCTGACTTGTCTTCAGTACTTCATAATGCATGCTGATGTTTGTACTATGAAAATCACTTTGGCAACAAAACATCAACTGATGGAAATTTTTACGTGATAGACAACCACATAAACCAGCTTTGCCTCTTCTTATTTTTATGGTGGATCTAGACGCAGGTCTAAACAGAACAGGTTGTGTTATCTAATGCCAACATTTCACAGTATTAATGGTAAATGCTTGCCTACTTCATCTTGGTTAAAGTTGAAAAATATGAAATTTAATCTTATATGTGAGATGTTAATAATACCACTGTGTGGATTTACTAAATGTGTTACCTACCATTTGCAGTAATACAAACATAGAGAAAATGTATAAAATAGGAAAAGTAAGCAAGCCCAAAAATTTCCGCCATTGCTTCTCAAATATTCCCATCAAATCCCAAGGGAAAGATTGCCTACATCAAGGAATCTGAAGCCAGGCATAAGAGGAAATATTATTAAGGGAATCTTACTTCACATCTTAAGAAAAAATTACATGATAGGATTCTTTTCTAGGTTATAGAACTTTTATATTAAAATATTCTCGTATAACTGCTATGGATTTTTGGATCTCTGGAGGCCTAAAAGGACACACACTTCAATAAATAAACAGTAAGTCTAGTAGATTATCATTTCTGAATGCTCACAGAAGACCCTATTAGTATTGCTAATTGAAGAAGAAAAAGAATAAGCTTCACAGGTGAAATCAGACATGAGTGAGGGAACAGAATTAGAATACAACCAGAAGAAGATTCTGTGCAAAGATTTGGATATATTCCATTGCACAGTGTCCCCAGGAAACTGCAAATAGTTTTGTGCTTTTGGATATGAGCTTTCCAGTCTGAATGAGGCCAGAGTAAGGGAGGTCCACTGAGTATAAGAAGCAACTGTTAGACACATCATCATCTTAGTAAATATGCATTCCTCATTATTCTTTTTAATTGCCCCGGTTCTTCTTCCTTAACTTCCCACTCACAGACCAAAGAACAGGTCAGGTGGAAGTGTTTTAAAAATTATTATTCATTCATAAACCATACTTTAAAGTCAAATCATCTGTGAAAAACTCTGTCCTGGCCTTGGCTACCTGTCAAAAGGATCCCCTTACTGGTAATCAGTGGTTCTCCAGGACCTGGAACTGAGCCAAGAAGGAAACAGCCACTGATGAAAGAGCAGGGTAGCAATTCATGGAGACCAAAATGTCCTCACCAGAGTGAGGGATGAAGGGGTCCTTAATAAAAAGCATTCTGTCTGTTCAGGAATCATTCAACAAGAACATACACCCCCCCTCCCCACTTCAGGGTAGAAATACCTTCTGAAATTTAGTAACAATCCACTTTCTGTGTATAACCTTGTGATCCTTTTGAGGAAATATTTACAATAGAAAGCTATACTGTGCTACAGAACACTAGCTCTGTTTTTGAGTGCCCGAGGACCAGCATATCTTTGAAGATGCCTTTTCCTCTCTGCTTCCTCTGGCAAGTGCCTGAACAGTGCCTGTCTTCTTGATCCCAGCCCTACCAGGAGCATGGACTTTAAAACATTTCACATGCACAAACCCAAGTCAACAATGTTGTTCTTTCTATGAATTGTTGAACATTAGGAAACATTTGTAATGCACTGCATCTGTAAATCATTCTGTAAATATTCTACATGGGGAATGATTGGCTACATTTTCTGAATTACCTTGCATTATACCTATATCTTATCCGGTTTTGAGACTGATGTGGTGGTAAGGGTTCTGGGAGTAATAAAATTGACAGGAAGGGTATTTGTATAGTGGCCATGTTTCTAAATCCACCATACTGTGGAAAACTTTTATTCACTCTCCTTTTTGTTTATGCTGCTCTAGATAAATTATCTAATTAATCTCACTTAATCTATACTTACCTTCACCAATCTAGTAAGAAAAATATAGTATTTCACATTTCAGAGCTATGGGTCTTGAGGGTCAGAAGAATTTATTTATTTCCCCAAATTTGAAGCACAGTAAGTAATGGAGGTGGTTTAGAAGCAGGGGTATTTGTTTTTCAAGCATTATCTCTCAATGTTCTTATGTCTAAGTCCTTTGCCCTTGGAGTTCACGTTGTTTGCATTTCTTCAGCCCTGGTTCATGATGGTTGTTGTTAGTTTGTTTAGTGTCAGTATTTCCTTTATGATCTGAGGTTGGTATTTCCTTTACGATCTGAGGTTGAAATAGTTGCAGTGGCTCATACTTTTAATCCTAGCACTTGAGAAGTAGAAGCACTTATACATGGGAGGTAGAGACATATGCAGCACTTTGGAGGTAAATATTTGTGAGTTTGAGGTCAGCTTTGTCTAGATAGTGAATTTCAAGACAACCAGAGCTACATAGTAAGATCCAGTCTCAAACAAACAGAAGATATAAGCTTGTATGAAATTCTCCATTGTATTCCCAGTTCTAGGCTAGTTGGTTGGTGTCTACAGTCTGTTCTAAAACTTTTGTAAAGTCTGACAAGGTGTTGGCTATGGCCTTTACCTACTCATGTCACACAGAATAACTATTCCAAAGCTGCTATTGAATAACTTCTTAATCATTTAGTACAGCCCATCATCTATTTTTGCATTTTTGTGATACTTAGTTTTACAAAGTAAACTGGCTCATTGAGTAGTATGCAAAAACAAGTAGGATCAGTAAATTACTACACCAAGTGAGACATATGATTAATATCAACACTATGGATTAGCTACAAGAGTCTGATTAACACTAATGTTTTTCCCACATATTATACATATGTAATGCTATGAAGTATGTTAAATATTAAAGCATGGTAGTGAGTTATCAAGATGCCAACAATATCATTTTTTAAACAAAAGTATATCCAGCAGTGCACATAAACTCTGTATTGGTGGTAGATAAGCACATACTGCTATATAAATGAAACAAGTGTAACTTGTCATGAGATTGTCTTCCTGTTTTGCATAAATAAAAACTTGATCCTATTGATAAACTCAAGATGTTTTCATCTGATGGTTTTACTTTTTAAATTTACCTTTATTTATCCTTCTGTAGATTTAGTTCACTGTAGTTATTCAACATTTTAAAGGATGAATTTCCTAAGAAGAAATAAGAAATATTTATGTGGTAGTCCCATTTCAATAACACCTGTCAATCAGTGTTATCCTCCGGTGATGTACTAAATTAAGTCTCCATTCTCCAGCCCTGGTGCCTATGATCTCAAAATGGGAGTACTTGGAGAGATGGATATTAAGGAGGCAAATGTGTAAAAAGTGATTGCAGTGAGATGGACTTACTTAAGTCCGTGCTGATTAGTATCGTTCTACAAAGAGGGAATTTTGACCCAAGGAAACTCATTTGGGATGTGCTCCCACATAGGAAGTGTCCAGAAAGATACCTGAAAAGCCTTGAGGCTAAACTAACCCTCCTGATGCTTTGCAGTCTAACATTTAGCCCCTAGAATAGCTCAGAAAGGCATCTTGTGTCACTGAGGGAAACTAGTCTGTAGTATTCTGCTGTGAGAACACTAAGAATAATCGGAATTTTGGTGGCAGCAAGGGAGTGCCACTGTAACAAGTGTCAAAAATATGGAAAGTGCTTTAACACAGACTAACATGTGCTGGCTTCTTTTATAAATTTGTAAGAAATGCCTAGGATCCCTTGAAAATAGCTGATGGTAGACAAAAAACAGGAGGTGCTTCTGGTGAACATCTGATGGAAATGAAGAACATGGTGTTGTAAAAAGGCCACACTTGCTATGCAGTGGCAAAGAACGCGGTTAAATTACATTCTACACAAGGTGGAGAGTCTGAACCTGGAAATTCAACACAGCGGGTTTCTAAGTAAAATATTAGACAATCTAAGTACAAGAACATGTAAAGGGAAATTACACTTTGAAGAAGGAACTGGTCCCAGAAAAGGAAGCAGAATGGGAAGATTTGGAATATTCTTAGCTTATTCATACTGAAGAATGTTAGGATGAGCCATGTTCAATGCCATTCACAACAAATGTAGATGGCATTGGAAACTATATGGTGCTGATGGGCTGGGCTTAGAGCTATGGGCTACTTTGATGAGGGGTAATTCTTCTGTTGGTGCTAGGAGCTGGTAGATTCATTGGGTTTTCTTCTTGCTATCCACAACGTTTCCAAAAAGACAGTTTTAGATTTTTAAGTTTTTGTCTCTGGCATAAAAATTTTGCATTTTTAAAAATCCCATTATTGAAGTTCAGGCTAGAATTGCCAGCCCCAGGGTGAAGAGAAGTGTGAGATCTGATCACAATTGTATAAGGACAACATTTGCTCTACCATCCAGGAAATGTTGTGTATATTTTATTTGAGACCTTTATTAAGTAGAGAAATCTCGTTACTAGATGATGTCTTTTAATAAGTATTGTCATAAATGGGGGTTTGAATCATGGAAATGCTTGTTCCTCATTGATAGGATAATACAATTTTGTCCCCTCCCCCTTTTTTAATTCTTCATAAGGTTTTGGTTTCCTGATAATACTGTATTTAAATCTGTTGGGAAATATACCCCTAATGATATTGTGGGTGTAGCTGCTATGTCACATGTTCTTCATTCAGTACGTTCAATAAAGGAGAGAGGCTATGTCTACACTCAGTGTTCTGACATGTGAACAACTGAATGATTAAAAGCTTAACACTCTCAAAAAAAGAAAGAAAGAAGGAAGGAAGGAAGGAAGGGAAGGGAAGGGAAGGGAAGAAAGGAAGGAAGGAAGGAAGGAAGGAAGGAAGGAAGGAAGGAAGGAAGGAAGGAAGGAAAGAAAGAAAAGAAAAGAAAAGAAAAGAAAAGAAAAGAAAAGAAAAGAAAAGAAAAAGAAAGAAAAGATAAGAAAACAAGCCTGAGGTGACCACCAGTCTGATACCAAGGGGGCTTGAACAGGAAGTCATTCTTCAAGGAACACTCATCTGATGCAGTGAGAGCCCACTCCATCAGGCTCCCAAGGCAGGGAGTACTGGAGACTAGAAGAACCCAGTCTGGAATTGTGGGGGGCGGGGGGTTCCTGGGCAGGAATAAACTTGGACAACCTTTGCATGTGCCCAAGCAAAGAGCAAACCTGAGATGACCACCAGTCTGGTGCCACACAGGCCTTGAAGGTAAAGACAGACCATGCCTAAGATGACTTCTTTCTGATGCCTTAATGCACTCCTGAGACCATTCCTGAGATGACCCCAATCACTCAGAGAACCCAGATAGTACTAAGAGGAACAAGTAAGTAATGTAGAAATGGAATAGAAAGAGAAGCAGAAAAATATGGGCACAATGAAGCGAGGCTGAACTGGAGACTTAAGGATAGTAAGGAACAACCTGATGTGAGTAGCCAGTGATTACACCTGGGACCATGGTGGGGTGGTAGCCTATGCCACCACCACAGGCAATGTCTCAGTCCATGGCCCTGCAGCAGGAGTGGTCAATTACCACCAAAAGACTAGGCAGATATCCCTGGTCTGGGCTGCATTCTGGGGGTATGTTGATGTCTAAGGGTTGTGCAGAACTCGCTCCACCCCTCACATGGGCACTATGGGGAAGCTGGCCCTGTGAGTGTGAAAGCAGAATAGCTGACCCCACTCCTAGCCAACTCCAGTACTCAGAAAAACATGTATTCTTCACCTTGCCTGGGCAGCATAAAAGAGCTGGCCCTGGATGCTAGGGTTGCAGGTCAGCCAACCCTGAGGGCTTGAGTGAAGGAAAGCATACACTGACTCTTGTGGTACAGATGAGGGAGAGATACCTCCCCTCCATTATCCCTCATTATCTATGGCAGGTAGGAGAGGTGGCTCTAGGGACATGAGAGTAGGAGAACTGGCCATGTTCCTTGATGGCTGCAACACTTGAGAAAGTGGGCCCTTCACTTTGCCTGGGGAGCAGGGCAGGTCCTGGTTTCCAGAGTTGCCAGCAAGCCAGCCCCAGGGTGTGAGAATGGGAGAGATGGTGGCCTAACTGACTCACTTACCTTTTCCGTAACTGGGGATCCAGGAATTTGAATTGGCTTACCCCAATATCTACCCCATAGATGAACTGCTGGAGTATAAAAGAGGTCCATTCCTAAAGATCAAAACTACAGGATCTCCATCACAGGATAACAAGAGGATATCTGGGAGGAGTCCCAGAGACTTTCCAGTATTGATAGAGTAAGAAAAGCCAAAGGCATCTTACAAGACCAATGAGTCATTGCAATGAACATTTACAAGCAAGAAAATATGGACAAAAGGTTATAGTGTGGGACATATTTTGATAGCTTCCACAATGAGATATTTTTTCTCTGTTGAGAGGGAGGTGGCAAGGGTGGAAGGTGGTTATGAAGGGTGGGGCAGATGGATGGGATTGGGGTGTTTGATGTGAAATTCACAAAGAATCATTAAAATGTTAAAATAATTGGGAAATAGTCTCTAATTTTCCAGATTCTGGGAAAGGTTGAACAGAACTGACATCAATTCTTCAATGAAACTCTGGGTGGATTTTTCTTTTATTTTTAACAATTATATTTGTTCTTTACAAATCTCATGCACATGTATAATTCATTTAGATTTTTCTCTCCATACTCTCTCTGTTCTTCCCAACTTCTCTTAACCACTCCTAAACTCCTACCAATCCTATTCTCAGATTTATTACTCTCTCTCATTTGTGTGTGCTTGTGTGTATGCTTGTTGCTTGTGTATGAATGTTCACGTGCATATGTATATGTGTTTGTGTGTGTGTGTTTCTTTGTCTTTGGAATTTGCAGCTTGATTTCAGACAAGTGCACAGGCAATCACATTTTTGTATTTAAACATGTAAATACATATCTGTGCAAATAAAATTATGTAATTTCTGCTCCTTGACACTGGGATAGAAAGAATAAACATATCCCATTGACAGACAACAATTTGTCACTACAAAGTTCGTAATTCTGCAATCTTGTTTGATAGTTAAAAGCTTTTGGAGCAAAAGATTTAAGACAGAGTTTTCTGCAGAGTGAAAAATATGGATCTATTTGCATTCTTCTACATACAGACATCTAGTTAGACCAAAAACATCTGTGGAAGATGCTTTCTTTTTTCTATTGTATAGTTTTACCTTCTTTGTCAAGGATCAAATATCTGTAGGAATCTTCAATTGATTCCATTAATCAACTTGTCTATCTCTATAAGAATACCATGCAGTTTTTATTACTATTGCTCTGTAGTACAGCTTGAAATCAGGGAGGGTGATAGCTCCAGTTCTTTTATTGTAAAGGATCGTTTTAGCTATCTCGGGATTTTTGTTTTTCAAATAAAGTTGAGAATTACTCCTTTAAGATCGGTAACAAAATTTGTTGAAATTATAATGGGAATTGCATTAATTTTGTAAATTGCTTTTGGTAAGAAGGCCATTTTTACTATGTTAATCCCACCAATCCATGAGCATTGGAAATCTTTCCATCTTCTGATATCTTCATCAATTTATTTCTTTAGAGACTTGACACTCATGACATACAGGTCTTTTACTTGCTTAGTCAGAGTTACACCAAGATATTTTATATTATTTGTGGCTATTGTGAATGGTGTTGTTTCCCTAATTTCTTTCTCAGTTTATTTATTGTTTGTATAAAGGAGGGCAACTGATTTTCTTAGCTTAACAATATATTCTGCCACTTTGCTTGTAGTGTTTATCAGCTATAAGAATTCTCTGGGAGAGTTTGTGGGGTCATTCACGTTCATTCATCATCATATAATTTGTGACTAGCAGTACTTTGCCTTCTTCCTTTCCAATTTATATCTTCTTAATCTTAATTTGTTTGCTCTAGCAAGGATACCTGCTCAACTGTGTTCATAGCAGCTTCTTTTGTAACAGCGAAAAACTGGAAACAACCCAACTTGAGACCCATTTCATGGACAAGAAACAAATCCTGACACTCTTAATGATACTCTGTTATGATTTCTAATGGGAGTCTTGTATAACTGTCCTCTGAGAGGCTCCACCCAGAAGCTGACTGAAACAGATGCAGAGATCTACAATAGATGGTGCTTAGGGAGTTTGTGGAAGAGTTGGGGGAAGAATTGAGGGACCATAAGCAGATAGGGACTCCAGAGGAAAAACAACAGGGTCAAATAACTTGGACCCTTGGGAGCTCCCAGACACTGAAACACCAACCAAAGAGCATTCATGAGCTGGACCTAATACCCCCACTTCCACAAGCTGCCCACACATCTAGGGCAGAAACTATAGCTTGGTCTTCATGTGGGTTCCCCAATAATTGGAGTTGAGGCTGTCATTGACTCTGTTGCCTGCCTGTGGATTCTGTTTCCCTAACTGTACTGCCTCTTCTGGACTCTATGGGAGAGGACGTGTCTAGTCTCACAGATACTTGGTGTGCCTGGGTGGTTTGGTGCCCAATGGGGCCTCACTCTTCTCAGAGGAAAAGAAGAGGGGGAGGGTTTATGTCATGGGGACTGGGAGGTGAGGGGAGCTTTAATCAGGATGAAAATGAGTAAATGAGTGAGTGAATGAATGAATGAAAAACAGATTTTCAATCAAAATAAGATCTTATATTTCATCTTCTCCCTAGATCTGTATGACGTAAAACTGACTTTGTGACTGTGACAGTACCCTGCCTTTTTATCCTTTCCAATCAATTGCTTGGACATGTTGACTCTTCTAATCTCTTAAAACTCCTAGCATCACACTTTTCTTATAGACTACAGGAAAGCCAAGTCACCAGTGTCTTTCTCCTAAGGTCCTATCAAAGCCATGCCATTAGTTTTCCAATCATTCTCCTCTTAGTACTCAGAGTCATCTTCTGATTGCTGAAATCATGATCTAAGAGAAATAATTCACAGAACCTCATGAGAAAACTAAAGTCCTTCCCATAGTCTGCAGAGTCAGTAGAGTCTGAATACTCAATTTCCAAGCTATGCTGATCTTTATGTTGCTGCAATGTTGCAAGCCCCTCAGCCAGTGTGACCTTACTCACTCATGCCTGGAATTACTGAGTTCCTCAGCAACTCTATCCCTTACATGACTAGCATTCAAGGTCATGCCTCGGCATAGCCAGGTAGGATCCAGGGGAATCCCTAACACATTTTCAGAGATTATTTAATTCCTATTTCTATCTACCACAAGCTGTGTAACTGTGTCTGAGTCATCTATGAGCTCCTAAGGAGCTGTCAGTTTGCTTGTAGGGAATGATTTTAATTAAATAGTGAATATCTTATTCATTCCAGTGATTTGTAAAAAGTGTAGGTTCAATAGTCAATACATATTAGTTCACCCCCCCTCAATTTTTGTGAAAAATTATCACTGACAGTTTGGTAAAGGAGTGAAAGTTTGGGAAAAATCTAGCACACAATAAGAGATATCACATCAATACAAACTCTCTCTCAAGCCTGCTCTACACACACACACACACACACACACACACACACACACGTCAAATATATGTATTTTAGACAGGGTCTCAATATGTAGCTCTTGTTGGCATGAAACTTACTATGTAGACCAACCTGGCCTTGAATTAACAGTTATCTGGCTGTGCCTAATATAAGTACTATAAATAGAACTACTTTTTTGAAGTTTCATTATATACATTACAAATTAAAAACAAATTCAGTAGAAGGGCATCAACAGGTATGTGACAGGGGTTAAAATCAGGTAATGGAGAGGAGCATACAATCAAAATATATTG